CATTCCAATATGGTTTCACTAATTGACTAACTTTGTTTTTACTTTTTGGCCATCCTTCATAATAATATTTCTTTAACAATTGCAAACTTTCATCTTTATTAGTTTGTTGTGACAATTTTGTACTGTAATCCTTAGTAATTGCTAAATTTGAATGCATTAAATTGACATGACAGGTTATTTCAGACTCATTCTCTGGAATATAATGATCTTTTAAGGCTGCTCTCGACAAAGTATCAGATATGAACATTTGTTTACCTGGGACATGTATAACTTTCAAATCATACTTTTGCAAAGTTAACATCATTCGCTGTAACCTAGCTGGTACATCATGTAATGGTTTATCAAACAGGTAGACTAAAGGTTTGTGATCTGTGTGAACTGTAACTCTGTGACCATATACATACTGGTGAAATTTTTCACAACCAAATTGAATTGCAAGCAATTCTTTCTCTATTTGAGCATACCTTGACTGGGTTGTGGTTAAAGTTTTAGAACTATAAGCAATGGGTTTATTATTTTGTAAAATGACTGCTCCCAATGCTGATTTAGACGAATCTACTGACAAGACTAATGGAATGTTGGGGTTATAGTGAGCTAAGACAGGTGACTTTGTGATTTCATCTATTAAACCCTTAAGACATTTATTGTGATTCTCATCCCAAGACCAGACAGAATCCTTTTTCAAAAGATTTCTTAAAATTTGAGTTTTTTCTGACAAATTACTAATAAAGGGACCTAAATAATTGATCATACCTAATATTCTTTGTAATTCTTTGACATTTTTTGGTGTAGGCATATTGACAATTGCTTTAACTTTCTCTTGGTCAACCCTTGCACCATCTTTACTAAAGATATAACCTAGGAAACAGACTTCAGACACTAGAAATTTACATTTAGATTTGTTAAATTTTAAATTAACTTGACGTGCTCTTTGCATGACTTTATGTAATCTCTCATTATGTACAGACTCATTTGGGCCATAGACTAGAATGTCATCAATGAATATTAAGACTCCTTCCAAATCACCAAACAAATTCATCATAACTCTTTGAAATATTTCTGATGATGCATTTATTCCAAAAGGTAACCTTAAATATTTATATCTACCAAATGGTGTTTGAAAAGTACATAATTTAGAACTATATTCATCTAATTTTAACATCCAAAAACCCGAAAATGCATCTAAATGAGAAAAACAGACAGCTCCAACTAGTTGAGATCTTATCTCATCAATTGACTTAAGTGGATATATTTCCCTTATGATATTTTTATTTAAATTTCTAGGATCTAAACAAATTCGTAACTGACCTGAACTTTTTACAGTTATAACTATACTATTCACCCACTCTGTAGGCTTAGTGACTTTTTCTATGACTTTCATGCTCTCCATGCGATCCAACTCCTCGCGTAGTTTTCCAAGCAACGCAAATGGTACTCTCCTGGGAGGATCCACACATGGTACTGCATCAGGTTTGAGTTTCAGGTGACAGACAGGAGGTAGACAGCCAAGACCCTGGAAGACATCATTGTATTTTGTTAGAATTTGTTGACAAAAATTTTGTTTAGACACTGAAAAAACTCTTTTAATTATTCCTAACCTTTCACATGTAGGAAGACCTAAGACATTGGGACACTCTAAATTTGCGACTATGAACACTATGTTCTCACTGACATTGTTATTATTTAATATTAAATTACATTTAATATTGACCTTTCCCATAATGGGTATTGATTTGCCACTAAATCCTGTGACATTTATATGACTTTTGACAATTGACAACTGTTTAAGCTTATGTTTTAAATAATTAAAAGTTTGCTTCGACATAATGTTTAAATCAGCTCCTGAATCTATGATGCAATTAAATTTTAAATTACCTACTTTTAAATTAATATTCCAGGACTGTTTACTTTTGTTAATGTTAGGTTCTGATTGAACTGTATTAATGTTGTTCAATGACTGATGACTTTGATGTGGTGGTGTGAGCGTGTGAGGTGATTCCTCAGACATGTGTCTGTACTCATCATTGAGATACACACTTTGACTATCACAACATTTGTTTATATTGTGACCATATGACATGAGAATAGATTTCTCAGACAGGTGACTGTTTTCATCACCGAGGTTCTTTTTAGACCTCTTAGACATGACATTATCACCACTATCATCACAGAAATTTGACATGAGAATGATTTTCTCAGATTGACAATGCGTCTGTGTACTGGCTGACTTTTTATTTGACCTAACATTATAGTGACTATACTTTGTACTTTTATTTGACTTTATATGACTTTGACAATGACTGTTTAATGTTCCAATGAAATAATGATCCTGACTACTGTTACTATTTGAATTAAACGACTCTAAACGACTTACATTTTTATTTTTAAAACAAAATTTAGCGAAATGACCAAATAAGTTACATGACCTGCATTGGACTCCCTGCGCTGGGCACTTGTATCGATGAGACTGCCCACAGCGGCTACACGGCCTCGTGCGCCTTTCAGGGTTGGGAGACTGCCTCGTACCAGGACCCTGCCGACCGACTGGTGAAGCTCGCTGTCGACGATCTCCTCGACTACGGCTCCTCCGACGTAGATGCATTACATTTTCCTGTTTCTCGCTGGAACTGACGATTTTCTCAGCATCTTGCTGTGCGACGATTAATGTTCTCGCCAGTTCGCGCATCCTTTGATATGTCAGATCAGGCTCCTGAAGCAATCTCTGACGGACATGTGCCAGGTCCATGTGCAGATTGGCAATGAAAATATCCCTGATGAGGGACTCCTTGAGCGTTCCGAATTCACAATCCTGGCTCTTATTTTCCAGGTCTGCCAGGAATCCTTCGATGGACTCGGATTGCTTCTGCCTCCTCGTGAAGAACATGTGACGACACATGGTTATGTTCCTCCGGGGCTCAAAAAAATTATTGAATTTCTGCTTCACTTCGGCAAGCGTGGTCTTGTCGATGTTGAGGTTAAATGTATTATAAATGTTTAGGCCTTTCTCACCTATAAGATGCAGCAGTATGGCTATTTTTCTCTTCTCGGGTGCCCTGTCTAAACCCGTGGCGAGTAGATATAGGTCCAGTTGCTGCGACCACCGTTTCCACGCTTCCGCATTATTATTTGTGGAATCCGACGAAATATTTAATGATTTCATCCTCGTGTTGAGACCTTGGACGCCATCTTGGTCGCCCACGCCGCATGGCTCGGAACTCGACTGGTCCATTTTTGTGACCGACTTACGTGAAATAAATTGTTCTTTTCACTTCTGACACCATGTAATATGATTGAAAGACTTGGATCTTGGATACTTGACTTTATTTATACGTTACACAGTCCTGCAGCTCACTGCACCAGAGTTACATTGTCAATGGCCGACACTTGCTCGGCCACCCTCTTTATAGTGATATGACGACATAGACAATAATAGTGCAACACTGATTAGTAATACTAATCATAGACAATACAACAACCTTCTTATAATGTTATGTAAGTCATTGACAGATATAACATGGTCATTACATAATGCCATGCAGTTAATTGGAGTCACGCAAATGATTCCAACTTGACCTACAATCCGCTTAGCAACCGAGCTAGCAACTAATCTTACGATTTTTGTTGCAGAGTAATTTAATTCACTATTTAAATAAAATTAAAATAATTTATTGCGCTTTAATAAATTAATTTTGGTTGTTTTTATTTTCTATTTATTATATTTATATCGTTTCTATTTATTTTTTTACGTTGCGTTAAGTTTTTGTTTAAAAAGAAACTTAGTATTAATATTGAAACGTTTTGATACATTGAACATTTTGTTTTGAAATTTTATTTTATAAGTAGGTTACGCTATTTGTAATGTGTATTATTTTCATATAAAAAATATGTATCAAGTCTAACCCACTGAATAACATAAATAGTAACTACCAAGTTGAAGCAGAAGAATTTATATCAGACTTATGTTGGATATGGCCATTGCAAGTTCTAGCCTTAGCCTAGCCAACACAATTAAGTATTTATAGTACCTACATACCAATTTATTCAATTTCAAGCCTCACTGAGACCTTACGTGAGGAAATGTGCCCGCATATATTCAATAATGTATGCATGCATGCGTGCCGTCGCCGCTCGAACAATGACCCCTAGCGCCACCTGTCCTGTTAGACTCGAACTACCGGTTCAACGTGCCTGCTTTGAAAACTTTTTCATTATTATCGTTAACAGCACTGCTGGACAAGTATTTTTTGAGCGTGGAAAATCATCAAATGCCTTATACATATACGCAAGAAAGAGTACCTAACCAACTCTTACTACCTAATGATTATCTAAAGATAACCCTGTTCCTACTCCTGATTCTAGATTACATTATTGCGCGTGCACTGGCCAAATCTAGAGTGCGCCATAATCTCCACACTTTGCAAGCGAATTTTAGATCGCAATTATAGTCGTTTCCCTTCGGGTAGTCACGACCTTTAATCTTTTCTCATGAGTTGATTAATTATTATTAATTAACCTGTCCCATCATTTGTGTTTTATTTATTAGAAGAAGATACTTTTAATCATGAGTTTGATTAATTTTGCTGTTTATTTTGGTATAGGTAGAGATTACAAAGCTCCTTGCCTAAAATAAATAACATGAATAGGAAATGACGAATGTCAAACGACACGAATTTCTACATAGGTATTAATATTGATGAATTGAAAGAGCTTTGATACAGGCATTCTTTTTTTTTTTTACTAACTTTTCTTTTTTTTACGGGGGATAGTTTTACCTTACTGTGACAATACTAAATTAACAGTTCGAATACCAAACATTACACATACCAATGCAACAAACTTACTGTTGTTTTCATAAATATTATAAATAACCAGAATATAATTAATAAAAACATAAATAGCTTTAAAATCTGAAATAATTAACACACGGAAGGAATAATGAATTCCATCTTTTTAAGTTTTAAACGACTATGGATATAAAAATGTGAGGTATCCAGTCTTACCTGATAAGGAAGTAGGTTGGCATAATCCAAGAACTCCAGGTGTTTGTCATGAAGGAATTCCACCGGCTGGGCGTCGGCCTGCAGCGTCAGGTCAGCTGCCAACGGCATGAACGTCTACAACAAGTTTACATTATTAATTATTTAGTACCGATAAAGTACGCATTACAAGAATCATGTTTGTATGATAAGCAATGTCTAATTAAGAACTGCGATAAGTAATTTTATTGTAAAGATGGTTCTTGCATAATATGACTATAACACAATACCTACTTCTATTTTTACAACATTCAGCCTATACCTAGTCTAAGACTATAATATTCAAAATAGGCTACTCAGCAATTTAGAGTTATTAATATGTATATCTCAAAATAAAGTAGTTTAATATTTATGCAGTCAGTTTATATAAATTTAAATGTAAAGGTCAACTCTTAAACTTTAGATTTCCTTTCATAATAATACGTAGGTATGTAACCCGTTTATAAATTCATAAAGCAAACCTAAAAATTAAAACAATGTTTATCAAGTATTGTTTTGTTTTATATTAAAGAATTGGGTTTTGGTACCTAACCATAATATTTTTATATATTTCATTAATATTTTTAGGCCCCATATTTTCTAGTTCTTAAGACAGTTTATGCTATTCACTACAAGATGGCGCTGCCTATAAAACAAGAACACGGATTAATATGCTTTAGTTGTTAAATACGTAGATTGTTCAAATAGTAACTGCCTGACTTGGCAATAAGTTGTGATTTATTTCTGAAGCGTAATTAAATTTTGCCATTTACAATACCTACATTGAAATACTTAGATTTTATCAACAAGCATATTTAAGCTTAGCATTCGGTTTATTTATTGATTTTTTGTATTTAAGTAATTATTAGCCACGTCGTAATAAATATTTAGCACTCAAAAAAGTTCAATGCCTTTTTTATATATAATTAACAAAAAAACGTTATTAAAATGAATAAAATAATTCAATAATTCAAATACGCGCAAACAAATTTCACAGGCATTAAAATTTGCAACAGTAAAACCGAGGGCTTCTATCTTCGCAGATGTTGAGCGACCCCTATAACAACGGAATAATAATTTAAATAGATATAAGATATTAGATATAAGATATAGGTACTTAATTCATGAATATAACAAAAAGTATGTAGGCATTAGCATAACCTGTAGGTATTACCATTTTTCTGTGTGGGGAAATCATCAATCGAGTTTTCTCGCCCAGGGTTGGGCGGGAGGCAGTTCAGACTCTTACTGACTAAAAACACACCCGTATCTTCTCCTGCTCTAGGCCGAGGTCGCGGTGCCCTATTACGCTTGCCCCACAGCCCCGGGTATAGCCCTAGGTGGCCTACTTCATGCCCACAAAAGTCATTTTCACTGAAGTTATCTATGAATAACCAAAATCCATCGACATCTTCAATACGAACACTTTCGTTCGCGTGTCAAATACAAAATTTTAGCACAAAATCAAAATGTGGCGACCTCAGACGTACTTATGTAGACTTGCACAAAACGTGACCGACATACGTAAATGGGGGTGCGTGTGCGTGTGAATCTGACACGAATGGAGGTCGTCGAGGACACGTGTGGAGCTACGTAACCTTATAAACATATAAAACATTCCCCTGTGTTTATTGAGTTTATTTACTCATTCCTTTATGTACAGAGGTGTAGGTTTCAGTAATTTCATTTGGATGCTCGAAGTGATGCCAAAAATTGTTGCAGATTTTTGTTTGTGATTTATGGATTTGGTTTTGGTTTGACAAATAATAACATGCTGCCTGTTGCACCTAGGAAGATCTTTACTCAATACAAATATGTACTAATATGTATTGTGATGATTAGGAAAGAACACGGGACAGCTTGCAGTAATTAATTTAAATGGACTGATTCAACTAAAAATAATTGAATGAAATTTATTTAAAAAAAATTAATAAACTTTAAATGGACACCTTGTCCACCAGCTTCATTAGTAAAGCTATTTTTATATTATTATTATATATTTTCAAATTAATTTCACAGTATTATCTTATTGAACCAAATCAATTTACTACTTATTTGTGTAATCTTATCCGACTTACAGCGCCATCTACTGTAAATTATAAGAACAAAAATATTTACCAGAGCCGGCCATTTGACGTCTTTTCCTTCGTGTTTTCTAGGAGCCCAAACAAGAGTTCTTTCCACTAAAAAAACACGAAACGTCCGTCGTGAATAAACAGCCACCCACTCGCGACGTTGCCAATCTACACCGTCGTATTCCACTAACACCTGAAACAAAGAAATTAAAAATAAATCATACAAACAATTTATTTAGCATAATAGTTAAAATAGAAAGAATAATTCATAAATATTTCAAATTATTATAAAACAATACTTTAATCGAAACAGATTTTTCAAAACCACGATATGAGTAACGCCATCTCGTAGCGAGTAGCGACACTACTACGGCCGATGTGTGAAACAAGGTGCCACGACCAGATTGTTGAATGTTGACAATATTCTGCCGCTAGATGGCGGGACCTGTACTCGACTTCACAATGCAGTAGTTCGACCCCGCCCAAATAAGCGTGCGAAAGAGACTTGCATTTTGAGAGAGACAAGAATAATAACAAATCAACTTTCTATCGTACATAACTACCTCATAACGTAGTATGTATTACTATCAAAGTTGAGTAAGTTGCAGCGATACAAACTGTTTGAATAAAGTTGGCGCGGAGCGAACTAACAAAACGCTATAGATTATGAGTTTACTCTTTGCTTGGTAAATAACTAGATAACTTAACGCAGACGTTTGAACAATAATATCTTAGTAACAAGAGACGTTACTGATATTATTCAATATCTACAGTAGAATCCTTTAGCGTTAAATCTATGTAAATTAGTGGGAAGATAGTAACTCAAGATAGAAGGTACCTACCAATGTACATTAGATAGAACCTAAGGTAACTACGTTCTCGAAGTACCTAGTAGCTATTTATACGTAGGTATAAATCCATAGTTTAATGCGAAGCCAATTAAGATTATGATTACGGAAAGTGGTAGGTATAGTTAGGTAAGTACCTACTTATATATTAAAATATTAATTGTGAATTTCCAAGTAGAATTTAGAATTTAGCTGCTTCAAATGAACTAGCTACAATTTTTGGCAGCTATTAACTTTTTGAATGGGTAACAGGAAGTGACTTTAATTAATATTAAGGGCTGATTTTTCAATATACAGATAAATGTACTCTGAGGAATAAAATTGTTGCTGTCACTGTCTTACACAAACATTGTGACGCGACAGCATCATCATTATTCTCCAGATAACATTTATCTAACCATTGAAAAATCAGCCCTAAATCACTTCAAGTATAGAACAAAGTCGCTTTCTCTGTCCCTCCTATGTACGCTTACATCTTTAAAACTACGCAACGGATTTCGATGCATTTTTTTAAACGATAGAATGATTTCAGTTCGTGGTTTTATGTATAATAAGAGTAGCATCCATTAAATTGTGGACAAAATTAGTATCAGCATTCCGTATGAAGCCGGGGCGGGTCGCTAGTCTATTAATATTACAAAGCTGAAGAACCCGGTTTTTTTTTAAGGGTCTAGTATTACTGTATTCAGTACTAGTTGGAATTGAACAATATAATTAGTTGTTATTGAGTTACAGAGTTCAATTTTTAAAGAAGGCTAAAGTTTATAAATCATTGCGCTGCAATCAATAAAAGTCGAGCAGCAGATCACCTATACTATTTCAAACGAGCAACAATAACTTCACTAGAGGACTGACTGACTGATTGGCAGTACGACATTTTTTATTTTATTTCACTTTCAAAACTACCATATATTTTTTCTATTTGAAACAAATGATAAGACGAATGAATTACTTCATTTATTTCAGTTGCTTGAAATACATATAATAAATCAGGTAATTGCGATTTTGATTTTTAAAAGTTATTATAATTAATATTATTTTCGATCGACATAATACTGAATTGTGATTAATATTCCTGTAGCTTTATTGCACATTGTAGGAACCTAGCTTGATTGTTTTTTACGATATTGACATTCATTCGAACGCGTTGTAAAAACACGTCTCAAGTAGCAAATAGGTTTTATTCTCATAATACACCAAGGTTTAATTCAAAGACGATTTTTAATCATCATTAAAAATAGTACTATTTCAAGGATACAATAAAAAATCGATCCAACTAATTATAACGAGCAATTTACATAGTAATCAGTCATGATTTTGATATTTCTGAATATGTAGTTTAATAACAAAATCGTGTGGATAACGCTCTGATACATATCTTTTCTTATGTTGTAAATCTGAAGAGTTTGTTTGTTTGAACACGCTAACCTCCGAAATTACTGGTCCGAATTGAACAAATCTTTTTTGTGTTAGAAAAGACATTTATGGAAATAAAACCGTGCGTTAGTAGCTAGTGTATTGTACTTAGTTATAAAACTTGTCACGAGTATGACCATCATACTTGTAGGTAATGTTAGGTTATGTAAGGTAAATGGCGACCCTCAGACAAATACTACTGTTATGATTGTCCAATGTCACCGGTTACACCTACTGACATCGTTCCACTGAATAAACGTTTATTTTTATAGCGATGTTGTGCTCTCACGATTCGTGATAACTAGCATAGGTATGTACAAATATTTTCTGTAGTACATATTCGTATTTTTTATAGGGCATTGTTATGTATTTTTCTATACTTATTACGACAAAAGATTAGTTGGTAGAAAGCTATTAGAATTTATAGATTTCCATGGATACAAAATGTAACACTGTCTTCACTATTTACCACGTAATTGCAGACTGCCCAAGTACAGCGATTGTCAATTGTCAACCCCTCAGTTTGAAGCCGAGTCCATATGCCAGAATAAAACATGTCAGTCATATTTTAAATTTAGAACAACTATAAAAATAAACATAATTTATCAACTTCACTTTACAAAAGACGTTTAATTATTGATAGACATGTCCATAATGAATATAGCAAAGATATTTTATTTCCCCGTTTCAAGTTAATTACCATAACGAGGCATCACTAACAAGCTGTTGTGGCGTGTCGTGTCAACACTCGTCCTAGTTCGAATCGAAGCCCTACTGTCAATGCGACCTTGTCATAATAACTGAGTCCCTACGTGCCTATAAAGCATGAAGTAAATTAAAACTATTACTTAGTTCGCCGTGTAGTTTTTTTTTCTAACATAAAGATTGCCAATCCATCTGCACCGCCCATGAACATCCGCAGCGCCAGAGAAATTACGAGGGCGTTGCTGGCTTTTTGGGGATTCGGGTTTTTGAAATTTAGGAATTGGGTCTCCGGTAACGTCACTTACACGGCGAAACACAACGCTGTGGTTGTTTCACGCCGGGTTTCTGTGAGGCCGAGGTATCACTATAGACCCATTCGTGCAGAAGTTTGGCTCTCCCACATTTGTGTAGTTATGGCAGATTTTAAAACATTTGCTACTATTCTGATTGTGTCGAATAATAACCTACATACCTACTTTACAAAGATTCTAATACACCTGATCCTTATAAAATGCTATCTCCAGTCCGACTGCCAAGCGTTCATGGAGATTTTGAAAAGCTCGTTTTTGGTAGGAGAGGCACACAGTACAGCAGTGGACTCTTATGGGCCGTTATGACGTCATTGGTTGAGTATTCGAAGTATTATAAGGGATTAGGAAAAAGTGGACTCTATAGCTAATATACACGTAACTACGACGGCTCAGTTCATGAATACTTAGGCTTATATGGATAAGTTTTACAACTTTCAAACTTTGCACTGTTAACATAGATTCTGAAGTTTATTTGTTGGTTGGATGGAAGACCTGTCAAATTAAAAGCTCTTTTTTTCCCAAAACCGCTGCAACTCCTGTAACCTATCTACAGTAAATAAAACAACGAAAACATTGAAACACTGAAGTCCAGTGCGTCACAATGGATCCCACAATGAACGAAATAAATCAGATGATATAATTTAAAGGAAAGAAAAAAATATAGCTCTGCTTAATGTTTAGGAGAACAAAAATAGTACAATTCGACGTCAAACCTAAGTCTTCCTATCGTGACCATATTGTTACATAATCGTGTACTTATAAAGTAAACTTATTACATTACTTATATTTACCCAATGTCTGTCTAAAATCATTTCTAATGGATCCAAAGAGAAACCCTGATTTGCTCTTGGCAGGCGACCAAGGAAAGTGCCATGAAAGAGATTACTGTTTAATGTTTAAATAAGCGGAAAGTAAATTTAATGGTATGGCCCGAAATGAAGGAATTATTTACCTTTTTGTGGGTTTTTGTTAGTTATATGTATTATGTATAAAATGTTGTATTTGAGGAGAGGAGAAATTATGAACAATATATACAAAATATATCGTACAACTAGCGCACCGCCGCAGCTTCACACGGGTGCTAGCCTGTTTTTAAATTACTCCTCTATTGAATGGGAGTACTAGGAACTACTCTTTATATAAATCTTCTTCTTCAATCGCTCTATCTATTAAGAAAAACCGCAATAAAACCTTTGCGTATTTTTAAAGATATAAGCATTACATAAGGACAGAAAAAGCGACTTTGTTTTATACCATATAGTGATACTGTGATATATCCTGTTGTACAGTTTAAGGCAACACAATTACATACTTTGAAATATTAAATTTTGTAATTATTCTATAATGTGCTTATAACTGTTGAACAAATGCCTTTTCTAAGATGGAAAGAGTTTGAGAATTAACACCACGCTTGCTAAATTGACGATTTCAAACTTATAAGTCCAGATTTCCTTACGATGTTTTACTTCACCGTATATAAGCGATGTAAGCTTACTCTTAGAAAATACATAATTAGGTCAGAAAATGTTACATTCATACTTGCTAGGTTTTATACCTTCATCCATAAGAAGCAGCCCTTAATACCTTAAACATCTAAAACACCTCTATGTATATGTAAGTATTACTATTTTGAGTAACGAATCTATTATAATAATATTAGAATTGTTTTTCAACCAAATTGATTATTATATCAACGTAAATTATTTGACTAACAAAGTAATACATGCAATTTTCTGTATACGAGTCATTCCATAGGACGGTTGCAAATCGCCTTAGTTTATCCAATTATAGCTCGCTCGTAATTATGATATAATTTAGGTACTGTAACGACATCTACGGAAATAGAAGTAGATTTATTATTAGTTGGAAACCACACGGCGACTAAGCTAACAAATCTTGAAATATAGACTGAG